AGGAAGTTTTTATGACTACATATATGTGTCTATCTATAGTAATTTTCCCTTTTGTATGGGTATGTTATGACTGTCTTCCCCTACACATGGGTGTGTGTATGTGTCTTTAGGTATTTGTGTGTTGCTGTGCATGCCCTTGGCTGAGTGTGCAATGTGTTGAATGTATATGCCTGTATACATGAATCTTTGGCTATGTGACCTTGTGTATGTGTGCAAAGCATATACATGTCCCTGGGTGTGTGAGCATGGTATGACATCTGAGTTTGTGGTTCTATGTACGCAACGATGATTCTCAAAAATAAAAAACTATGATTCTCTATCTCTGTGTTAATACATGCATGTGGCATGTGTGTGCACTCATGTATGTACTGTAGGTGAGACAGGGATATCACATCAAACACAGATAGTTCCCTTTTTTGCAAAAGAAACAAAGCCAAACCTCAGATGGGGGCATGTGGGAGTAGCCATTTTATTGACAGATCTTCTACCCATGGCCAATGGTCTATTATTCAGTGGAGAAAGCATTGCTTGGTTTCTCCTGTTCCAGGACTTCTCCTGGATGGAAGCATCAGAAGAGGTGGAAGAGGCAGATGATGTGGTCAAATGGGTCAGTAGCAGGTAACAAGCAGGTAATAAGTAGGCATGGTGGTTAGAATCCTTGGGATCTCTTGAGTTTGCAAATAGCAGCACTGGTGTCCCCCTCAGTAGCAATGAGTGCCTGCAGATTGGCATGAGGGTTCCCAAATCCCATGGCCTGGAGAAATTCCATCTGCTGACTGAAACGAATCTCAGGGGCTTGTGGAAGGTGGGAAGGGTCTCCAGCTAAGGACTGTAGCCTCTGCTGGACTGTTCCAGATTTGTGGCAGCATTCAGGATGTTTGTGTTCAACAATATCTGGCACATCCCAGGCCCAGGGCACTGTGTCAGGGTAGCTGCAGCTGGGTGCAGGAAGCCAACCCAGGCCCCACAGGTAAGGTGCAACCCAGGGTAGAAGAACAGGAGCCTCTGTGGCCAACAGCTGCAGACCCTGCTCAATCTGCAATATTGCTTGTGATGCTTTAGGGTTGGCTAGGGATATAAGCATGTCGGAAAGCTGTGTCTGCTGCAGGAATGTGGACAGCTGCTGCCTACACTGTGCACTCAGCTGGGGCATACTTATGAACAACATCATCTGGGCTGCCAAGTACGGGTTATTCAAAAGCAACTGCATCATGCTTCCTGTGATCTGGGAGCTGGTCTGCTCATCAGAAGGCTGGAGGTCATCCTCTAATTTCTGGTCAGAGCTATATAGAGAGATGGTGGCATCTTTGTCTTCTGCCTGGGGCTGCTGGGTGAGCTCTATGCTAGGTAAGGTTGGTACCGCAGCCAGCTGCTGAATGGGACAGGTATGACTCCGGCTCTTGGTGGAGATAGTGGTAGCATAGGCACCGGGAGTATGGTTCACCCTGTTGGGGGTAACATTGGCTGAGGTGATAGAGGATAAACCACAAGAACTAGTATAGATGACTCGGGTTGTAGGGAGCTGTGGGAGCTGGTCCCGTCGTTCCTGGGGTGGTGTTGGAGATGGAGGTGAGGATTGAACTTGTTCCAAAACTTGTCCTTCCAGGAGAGCTGTGAAAGGGTTGCCCCCAAAGGGATCTTGTGAGCTGTTGAGCATTTGGTCATTGTAATCAACATAACTCTGACCCAGGACATTGTCCCCACCTGGCATTGTCTCTAAGCCTGAGTGTGACTGTGGGTTCAGTGGATGCTCAAGATTCTGTTCAGGTTGCTGGATCTGCATTAGCTCTTGAATAATGGCAAGGTTTCTGGCCAGCTCCAGAGTCTGCCATAGGATCTCAGAATTGTCAAGGATGTGGGAGACTTCTGGGTTCTGCTGCATTAGTTGTTGTATGTCTGGGTGTTCTGAGATGAACTGTCTCATGAGGTCTGTGTTAGACAGAAGCTGCTGGATACTAGGATTCTGTAGCATCTGTGCTATATACTCTAGACTACCCACTTCCAGATCCTGGGTATGCATTTTGGATGCATCAGGCTCCACAAGAAGGGCTGATTCTACTGGGGTGTGACTCACACCAGCAGGTTGGTATACCCCATTGCTGTTACCTTCGGTGTTTCTGTCCCAGTGGCAGGGCTCTTTGGTCAGCAGTTTCCGGGAGGAATGGGCTAGGGATCTGGAGCTGCATTTGGACTTGATGACCAAGTGAATGGTATGACCATCTAGGATGCCCCTTTGGCTCAGTGTGTCATGATCTTTGAGAAGGCGGCCCATGAAGACAAGCACGAGTTGGTCCATCTGGCACTTAAAGTGAGCAGATAGCTTCTCCTTGAACTGCCTCACTGAGGTGTCATCAGCTATCATAAAATCTTCCTGCTTGCCTGCTGTCTTCACTATCACTCGGGTGACACTTGAAGAGATGTTCTTGTCTTCAGGCAAACCTGAAGGACGCCCACTCTGAGCCATCCTGGGTTTTCGAGAGATGACATGCGGCATGGACCTCAGTGGGAGGGCAGATGTTGAGCTGGGAGGGCAGATGTTGAGCAGGTGGAAGCCGGGGCAGAAGGGTGAGGGCAGACAAATATTTCTGCTGGCCTTTGTCTCAGGTGTCGTGTTCTTAGACCAAAGGCTAGTTTCCCTGGTGCCCAGAAAGGGATGAGTGACCAGCTGGGGTCAGGTATTTTGCGATGTTATACCCCCCACCCCAGTTCTCCAGATGTGGCCCAGCTGAAGCCTGTCGTGGCTACTGATTCATACTTGGTACTAGGTGGGCTAAGTAAAGATGACTCCACCCAGGGCTGTCCCTCCCTTCTGCCCCACCCACCAATACCATAACCTCTTCAAAAAAGGGATATTGTGATGTCAACTCTAGTCTCACAGTCTCTGCCAGGACCAGCTAGGGAAGGGAGACATATTTGTATAAGTGTATGTGTGGGGGTGGGGGTAGGGGTGGGGTCACCAGATCTCCATAATAAAATAAAATAAGGTCATTTTCCAGAAAATAGAAGACAAAGTTCTCAGGATGGAACTATTAAAAAAAAAAGGGGGGGGGGTTGGTGCCTGGGTGGCTCAGTCAGTTCAACCTCTGCCTTTGGCTCAGGTCATGATCTCAGGGTCCTGGGATTGAGCCCCTGCTCAGAGGGGAGTCTGCTTCTCCCTCTCCCTCTGCCTGCTGCTCCCCCTGCTTCTACTCTCCTGCTCTTTCTCTGTCAAACAAATTAAAAAATTTTTAAAAATCTTAAAAAACAAAAAGACCAGATTGTTTACGTGAGATGTGTGCTTGTCTGTGGTGCTGTGTGTGTGTCCCTGTTGGGATTGCAGGCTTGTTATATTGAAAGTCGAGTTTGCTGAAGCCATAGATAAAACTGCATATCTGTAAGAACGGAATCTCTCCTGTAAGAAGGATCTTATTACTTTTGTTAGAGATCTCAAAAAAATGAGGCCTTACAAAGGAAAAGGGAGCAAGGACAAAGTTCACAAGTGGAAAGGGAGGTCATGGTTTTCTTTGGCTCTAGGTTTAGTGATACTGGACTTAACTGAGAGTGCTCCCATGTGGAGATTGATTTCCTCGATCCTAAAAGCAGGAGCAAGGCTAGCTGGGGAGGCTCCCTGAGGGGCATTTCAAATTAAAGGTGAGTGAGCCCTTCCTCGCAAAATATTTTTTATTCAGCTATCACTTGGTCTTTTCTACATGTCATTTTAGCAGAACCTTTAGAAAGATTTGATTCAGTCTCTTAGCCCAGTCTTCAGTGCCCACCTTTGTGTCATAGCATTAGTGGGAGAAAAGTCTGTAGATCAAGAGGTGATGGTGGAGGTGATTCGTAGTGAAATTCCTAACAGGATGGGTTTAGGCAACTAAAACAGATTCTCAGTTCCATGCAGTTTTGATCTATATTTGGGCAGCAGATAATTTTCCCTTAGTGGATATGTTAAAATGTGCATTTGTGTTTACGTAGATGGAAATATTGTACAAATGAATAAGAACCCATATGTCTGGTTGGATGTATATTTGTGAATGTTTGTATATGTGGAAGTATAAGCATGAGACAGTGCGCCTGAAGTATTCTGGTATCCTCTGTGTGACTGTGAAGACTTTGGGATCTGAAATTTTGAACATTCCATCCGACCCCATGGGAGGGAGCTGAACCACTCAGATAGATAAGTAACAGAGGTGGAGTGTCTGGGCCTCTATATTCTCAGTGTGTTGAAGATGAGCAAAGATATTACAGACAGTTGGCCAGGGTACTTCCTGTGTCACACCAAAGGATTCTTTATTGAGAATGTCTAGACCACCAGCTCAGTCCACGTCAGACCCTCCTCATGCTCAGCCATTAGCTGCTTACTTCCTAGAATGGGACTCAGGCCTAAGTCCTTCCCTCAACTGCACTCAAAGTGAGATTGATTCAGGACAGGGAAACATTGATTTTCACACCAAGACACTGCTCTTTACTCCCCAGGTACCCTGAAGGAGGCTGAGGATAAGAAAGGGGGCTTCTATATCCCATTCTAATGACCAGTTGCCCTGGTCTCTGCACTGGGAGCAGAGGCTCTCAACATAAGGCTTACCATCTTAAACCTAGTTCATGGAATTTTATATTTGTCAAAGCTGGATTCCTGGTTTTCGAAACACAGAATAGATTTGTTTTAAAAATTAGAATGCTGTGCCTATAATTCTAGGATTCTAGTAAAGAGGTGTTTGTTAGTGTTAGTGTTTGTTTCCCAGTCAAACCACAATCAAATCCAGGTAGGCCATTATTAAAAAGAACTTTGATGTAAGGATTGAGTTATCAGTTCTACAGAATTATCAATTCTACAGAATTATCAATGATAAAGATATAATCAACATTTCTCAATCAGTAGGAGTGATGGCCATTGTGGGGGACGATTCATCTGGAGTTATGAGAAGGGGGACATGATTCTCCCAATGCTCTGCCCCAGGGGTCTCAGGGCCTAGATTTCTCAGGTGTGACAGGATGTGGTCAGGAAGAAGCCAAGAGAGCTTTCAAGCTGGTGGTTTTGATTGTTTCTGCTTCCGCACCAGGAAGCTGAGGTCATAATTGATCAGGTAGCCATCATTGTAGACATAGAGCTTGTGATCCAAGGGGGAGTAATTGATGCCATGTAGCGTTTCCAGCATCTTATCCAGCGGGATGCTGAGATGGCGCTCCCGCCCAGTGGTGGTATCAAAAGCATAGAAGATCTCTTCTTGGCGGGTGCTCAGTGGGCGTAAGGCATAGAGCACTCCACAGGCCATGAAGGCTCCTGACATGGCTGGCTTGTACCGGCTGGTGCGCCAGGTTTTCTCCACTGCTAAGGTGCTGGTATTGAGACGACTCACAACCAAGTTTCCCTTGCTCTCCTCAGTGGCATAGAGCACCCACAGCCCCTTCTCATCACCAGCAAAATCTATGTCTTTCCAGGACACACCAGCATAGGAGAAGCGGTTGTTGTAGGTCGCACTGGGCAATGGGCGTCGTAGCACCAGGGTGTTGGAGGAGAGATTCACCTTGGCAATGTCACGTGTGCCATAGTAATTGAAGTACATGAAGTTCTCGTACACGGTATTACCGCTGCCATCACCGTAGCCCATTGTCCTCTCCACATAGTTCTTCATCAGTACCAGGTCATCATAGGACTTGTACAGCCGGTAGTAGTCAAAGTACCTAGGCGAAGCCCCACACCAGAATCATCAGGGTACACAGTGCTAATAAAAATGAGCAGGCTAGTGTTCTAATTAATAGCGGGAGCTTTGGAATCAAACAGAACTGATTTGTAATCTCTCTTCTTTTACTTACAATGTACTGGGACAAAAAACAACTGTAAAAAAAATCAGTAACAGCAATAACATTGACATCAAACTCAACAATGCCTCATGGACACTGTGAGTGCATTATCTCATTTAATTATAGCAACAGCACCAGAACTTAGGTTGTATTCCCACAGACTAGGAGACTGGTTCTCAGAAAGAATAAGTAATTTGCTCAAAGTCACTCACTCAGCTCATAACTAAAATCTGTAAAAAGAATAACAAAAGAATCTATCTCACTGATATCAGGACTGACCTAAATAATGCTAATAAACCAATTAGTAGAATATTTCTTTCCAAGTAAGCAATCATCAGGGGATAGCTATTATTCTTTTCTTCTTTATGGAGACTCTTCTATACCTAGACTCCACGCATTCCACCTGCCCCTGAGACATTGGTGTCCCAGAGTGGGACACAGTTCGGAGGTGGATTTGGGGAGACCTATGCTCATGAGATCACTTTGGAAAGTTCTTTAAATTATCCCTGAATTCTGAGTGTTGTCACTGCTTGACATTGGTAAGTACTGCCTTGCCCACAGAGATTTTGAGACGATTAAAAAGGCAAAGTCATGTTAATATGCTTCACCTGCTACAAAGCACCTGTAGGAATTGGGAGCAATGTTATTAGTAACACTATCTGAGACGATCTTCCACTGAAGCCCTTCAGTGATAGGTTCAAGCCATGTTCATCCTACCCTCCTGTAATCTCCTACTCAGTTAGATCTTTCTCATAGTCCTATATAGACTGACTTTAAACCCCCTGCCTGTGCGTTGCACCTAGCTGCCTAGCCAGGCTGCCAGATTATTGAAGGGCTCATTCATCTACTCATGGATTCAGTTAGCAATCTTATCATCTAAAAAAACATCCACTAGCACCCATTATACTGGTCACACTTTTCTACGGAATCTCACATGATATTCTCATAATTTAACTATCCTCACTTTCCAAATGGCTAGAATGGGTCTGAGACATTAATGCATTTTCCAAGCTCACTCTAAGTACTGAGATTCAAACTCAGCTTTGTTTGAGTCCATGGCATAAGTATGGTCAAGTTCATCCTTTAAACTGTCCTCAGAAGAAGCTAGGATTTTGAGGGCCAGGTGGAGAAGAGTTTGCTCTTGAAATAAGATCAGGCTATAGATAGAACCAGTTTGGATTATGATCGGATTGGAAATTTCGGACAGTGGGTTTGTGAAGGAGCTCAGGGCCATCTGAGTCCTCCTTAATCCAGAGAGGAGTTCTAGGAGGTGGCCTGTCAGGCCTAGGCTAAGTTTGTCCAGGGGCATACCTAAAATGGAGAGAGGAAGCTCTGCTGGGGCTACAAATAAACCCATTAGGGTAGGGTAGGGAACATTTGGAATGAACCTGGTTGCAAAAGAGAAACCATCCTGAACTCACCTGCCATTTTTACCCAGAGGAGCTACCCAGTAGAGGGAAGAGTCTAGATCAGGTGCTGAGTCTCGACCCCAGACACCTGCCATATGGGAGTAGCCTCTCCAATTGAGTTGTACCACAAGGGGTCGGCTGACTTTCTGGAGGCCTCCGTGGGCACAAGAACCTACAGAAGAGAGCAGGCAAGGTAGAAACTAGGAGTGAAGCACACAACCCACAGGGAGAGGACAATGAAAGTGTAATAGCCATGTGTGCATTTCAGCATGTGTCTGTCTGCCTGAGGGCATGCAGAGCTATATAAGCAGGTGTGACTTTGCACAAATAGAGGATAGTGCACATGTCTGATTATAGGTGTGTTTATATATATCTGTGCATAATAGTATGCTGAATGTGAGAGTGTACCTATCTCAGTCTGCAGCCCTTAGTGATGCAGCATGCAAGGAAGCAAAAGACCTTTGCTGCCCAACCCTCAGTACCCCATAACCAACCCCCTATTCCCAAATCTGGTCTTTGGGGAGATGAGATCTTAATAAATTCAGTCTGAGGCCTCACCAGGGGGCAGGGGTGGACCAGAGGCCTCTTGCCACTTCTCCCTCTCACAATCGCTGAGCCGGCCCTCAAGAACATCCACCTCCTGGCGGTAAGCACGGAGGCTGCGCTGGTCAGAGTCAGCCAGAAGCTTGAGTGTGAGGCTGGCATTAGCCACCTATGGAAACGAGATGCCAAGGATATGGGTCATGGACTGTTCCTATGAACTGAAGTGAGGCTCCCATATTGCCCAGCTCAGTGACTTTTTTCCCCAGAAATAAGTGATTTTGGAAATCATCAAATTTATGAGATTAAATAAGACAGGAGACTATGGAGGGGAGAGGGATTCTCCAATCTATCCCCATGTACCTGGCTCTGGAGTTGAGAGAGGAGGTCCTCAGTCTCACTACATCCTTCCTTGGCCATAAGCTGGGTCACCAACTCCCGTGCTCCCTCTAGCTCCAGGCGCAGCAAGTTGTATGTTGGGGCCTCCTAGGAGGAAGCAAGAGCAATGGGATTCCTGGGCTTCAGGGCACGGTTCATTTCCAGGACCTGGTTATCCTGACCTTCAATGGTGTGAGCGTACTCACTGACCTGGGTGCGGGGGAATGGACAAACAGGACCCCTAAACCTCAACACCTGTGACTCTTTCTCCCATTCACATGCCCCCCAGTGCCACACAGCCAACAAAATACTCTCAGATCTGTCACTTTCATTTGTTCCATTAACAGACATTGAGGTGAGCATTAGTGTTATCTCCATCTCACAGCTTAGGACATTCGTGTCCTTCTTTTCACTTCAGGAAAAATCACTATTTCCCCCATATGCCCAGTTTCTCTTCCCCTTTCCTGGTTACAGACACACTTTCAGGAGTGTCTTGGTGAGTAAATGAATGGACAGACTCCTAGCTTCCAGGCCCTCTACCATCAGCCTTCCCCAGGGCTCTACGAGTACCCATTCCAAAAAGCTACTGCCCACATCACAGGGTGGATGTCACATTTCCATTCACTCAGCCTTACTTACAACGTTGATTGCAAACTCACCAGCCTGGCCCACAAGACTCTCCAGATATTGACCCTATTTTAACTCAACTCCAACTCTTTTCCGTCTCCTTTGCACTGGCCATCCCACTTTCCTCTTCCTTTGCTAAAACCTCTTCCCATCTCCCACTGCACCTATACCCATGAATTGTCCTCTTAATGGAGGAAGCACATCCTACACAAGCCTCTCTGTACTGTGACTGCCACTGAGAATCCCAAGAATGACACCTAATTTTTCCTTCATACTCAGGATTCATCTCAAAGATGAGGGCTATGCTTCCTTCAGCAATTTCTCTACCACCCTGGCTCATCCTCATGCTGGATCCAGGAGAGAATGTGCTCCTATAACTGCCAGCCCCAGCCCATAGCTCCAGTGCTTACCCTGGATAGCTCCTGATCATACTTGTCCATGAGCACCTGGGTTATACTCTGTAGCTGTTCCAGCTGATTCATGGGCATGAGGTTGTTGGGCAGGTGAACTACACAATGGCACAGGCCATCCTCATCCACAGAACCTGGCACCCTTTTCACCAGCTGCAAAGGCAAGGCCATGGGCACATTAAGTGTGATGAAACATGGGTCCTAATGTGCTGTTTAGGAACATGAAGCAGAAGAGCTGACCCTACTCTGGAGTGTCTGAGAAGAGCTCTCTTGGCACAGGAGGTTGTCCATGACTGACTCTTCTGCCATGAGTTGGAGTGACCCTTCCCTTGACTTCCCAGAACATCCCACGGCCCCCTTCCAGCTCCTAGAGGTGGGGCCTTCCTCACCTACCTCATACACTGGCTGGTTCTGGTCACAGTTCACAGAACTGGGAGTAGACTCTTCCTTGAGGCTCTGTGGAAAAGAGGAAAGCTGATCTGAAAAGAAGTCTTAAGGGACCAGTTTAAGGGATACAGTACCTCTACCCTGGAGATTGAATAGATTCCCACAAGTTCATTTTGTTGTGAAGACAGCAGGAACAGAGTGTTCCAAATTGTCAAAGAAGGGAGATGAATATGAACAACACCGTGAGGCACTGGACTCTGGACTGATATTTAGCGCTCACAAGAACATGACAACATATGACTTGAATTCTTCATTTTAAGTTGAAAACTGGAGGTTCTGAGAGTTAAATAAATAAATAAATAAAACAGCTGGGGTTTCCTTACAGATTCTTAAAGAATCAAGATGTGTGGCTCCTGTCCTGTGAATCGTCCCACACTAGTTTTTCTGGCCCTGGGAGTTAATTAGGTTATGTCTTCAGTCTGCAACTTCAGCCCAGTGGTTTAGCTTTTGGGGATGTTGAAGCAAAGGATACATGCCTACAACAGCCCAGGCTGGCCTGCCTCAGCTCCAGCATCCTTCACTAGGAAAAGGGTGGCAGATTTCTTCAGAAAGTGAGGCCTCATAGAAGAGCAGGGTGGACAGCCCTGAAATCCTCCTCTCTCATCTTCATCCTTGTTTTCCCTCTCTCACCCTAAGCCTACCCAAGCCCAGCAACAATCAGAGCAGACTGGGCATCCTATCCCCCTTCCAGACATCCCTAGGTCTCTCCACTTTCACTCTCTCTCAGAACCTGGGACTTCTTGAAACAGGTCAGAGGGATGAGGGAAGCTAGGCCGAAGCCCACCTGTTTGAGATCCCTGTACCTGAGGCTGTACCTGAGGCTGTCCAGGAAGCACCAGGAGCAGCAGCAGTAAGGGTATCCAGAGGGCCAGGGCAGGCTGCATCTTGCTCCTGCTACAGGAGGGGAGCAAGACCTTTGAGTTCCCCTAAGCTTTTATCTCTGGTCCCAGTGAATGGTCTCAGCAGGAGGGATATAGATTTCAACATCTGAAAGGACTGAGCATGTGAGAGGGGTTGGAAAGGGACAGGGTGGGGCATGGGAAAAAGAGGACTGTGACATACTTGTGCTTCCAGAGATGGGGTAGAAGGGACTTTTTTACACAGACAGAGTCTCTCTCAGCTATGTGCCCTCCCCACACCTAGAAGTCTGTCCTCTTCGCTGTTCTAAGCACTCTATAAACATTTCCATCCCACACCACTATTCAAATGAATCTGCTAATTGGAGATCCATATGCCTACAGCCTCCACTGCCTGTCCTTCAAGAAAGCCCCTTCCCAATATCTTCTTGTCAAGTCTCTAGTCCTCTGGCCTCTCACCTGATGTATCCTAAGAAAAGAAAAAGTTGCTTCCTGAGTCAAAGCTCAGTGTTCCTAGTGCCGGCCACTCAAACTTGAGTAAGCCACTCACCTACTCTCCCAAAAAGCCTATTCCTCCAATTTATCTAGTATTTTGTCCCAGCTGCCCATGGCTTTGACATCCCTCCCTCCAGCTCTATTCATCATACTTCAAAGTACCTTGGTCATGAAAATTAATTCCTTCTTTGACCAGTGTAGACACTCATCCCCTGACCCAGCTTTGTGGCTCTTTTTCGGATAAGTTCTAATCACCCAGAGAACACAGCAGACCATCAAGGTTGGGCAGGAGTGAAAGGGACTGGGGCCAGGTGCCACTATGGCAGTGTAGGTGAAAATGGTGGAGGTGAACAAACTTTCCTTACCTGCGTTTAGGTGGATAAGGAACAGCCTACCAAAAGGATGTAAGCCAAAATGTGCTTTCCATGCTCTGCCTGAAGACCACAGTTATGTCCATGAACTTCATGAGATATTGCATTTGGTATTTTAAGCTGTTCCAGGGAGTGAGGAACTTGGGACAGGTGAGCAGAGAATAGGGTGTCCCAGGGTGGCGGAGGGGTGGTGGGTAGGGGTCTATCAAGCATCCTATGCTCTGTGTCTGCTCCAGGCATCTCCACAGCACGGCCTCCTGGGCCTTCTCTCACACCCCCACATTTTGATTCCTGCAGAGAAGAATCAGGTAATAAACCAGGATAGACTTCCCCAAATTAGTCTCATTGGTTTAGAAACCAGAACTTCCTTCTGAAGAATATGGCTTTGCCAAGTCATGAGGTCTGGTCTTGCCTCTCTCACTGTGGGGGCCCTTGAGCTCCTCTGAACCCTGAGAACATCCTTTCAGGATTAACAAGACAGACCCAGCCTTTCCTAGGAAAGAAAGATGTTGATTCAGTTAGGCCTGGGAATGTCTCTCCCAAAAACCACAGGGCAAACATAACCTGTACCGGACAGGGGCCCCATGAGAAAGTCCTGAACTCAGGGTGGGGGCCCTACCAGCATACTTCCTTATGGCAAAATTCCAGGGAAACTGCTCCATATGGTCCATGTCGACAGTCCACACCTTTGCTCCTTCTACTTCCTCTCATAGGCTAAGAGAAGGGGAGGAAGACAAGGCTGAGAACCTTCTCCAAACCTCCAACTTCGGACTCTGCTCTGTGCTTAGCTATAGACAAGGGGCTGCTTCTCATCTTCCACTGACCACTCTGCTCTCCACCTGGACCCTCGTCTCATCTCCAGACCTCACACAGCCCAGTGTCGTCTCTGAATCAGGGGTTCACAAGGGACATGCTGAGGGAGGTGGCAGTAGGATCTCTGCTCCCCCTGAGCTCTCAGGCAGGAGACTGTCTCTGAACCATGGCCTGGGGCCCTGTAGCTCTCCTACCTGCCCATGCATGCAAAGCCATCCCATTGTCTGTGCCCCTTTCTGTGATCAGGAAACCAATGCACAGAAAGGCTAGGGTCACACACAGCTGGGACGAAGAACAACATCTCCTGCATCCCAGTCCAAGACTGTTTCCTCTCCTGGAAGACTTGCCTTGTTTCTCACTCAAGGGCAATTTTCTTCTGGGCAGGAGAAGCTACTCCGCCACTCACACAGATTCGGCAGCTCATCTGACCTGGGCTTCCACTCCCACTCTGAGGGGGTCCTCCTTCTGACTCCATTTACACATGCACACCTTCTTCCTGGCATGATCACTGGGGCCCAGGGGACGCAGAGACCTGCATGAACCAGCCACAGGCTGAGACACACCTCCGTCCATCTGCTGCCTCGTCCCCCTGGGTTCCAAGCCAGAGCCCGTGTCCTCCCTCTTCCTGCCCTCTTGATCCTTCTCAGAGTGTCTCCTTCTCCTCAGAGTGGCTCACAGATTGTTTCTTACCTAAGGGGCTTGAGGGACAAATATTCTCTCCAGGGAAGAGCAGAACAAGGAACATTAAATGCAGCTGGAAGCAGGACCACAGAAAGAAGGCAGAGTGGAAGAGTCAAGAACTGAGCTCCGGCAATAAGTGTTCAGTCCCAGCTCTGTAATATGATTTGGTGGGAATCGATTAAGCACTTTGACCCTTGGTTTAATCGGAATTCGTGATCCCCATGCAGACTGCGGAGGAGGTGGGAGTGAGAGGGACGCCAGTCCATTTTTCTTGTTCCCATGTACTCCCACTTCAACACAATGGTTAGGATCTAGAGTGGACTCCGAGGCCACATTATCTAGGTTCAGATCCTCGTTCTGTCACATACCAGCTGTGGGACTTTGCACAAGATACTCAACTCCTCTATGCCTTTATTTCCTTTACCTAAACGGAGGTAAGAATAAATGTACCTACTTTACAGCAATCTTGTAAGGATAAGTAAAATATATAAACACCTCTGGGACTTTTGGGAAGATGGCAGAGTAGAAGGATCCTCAGCTCACCTCATGCCATGGAGATGCCTCGATAACAATCACATCAGCGGAATCAACCCAGAGAATGACCTGAAGATCAATAGAACAGACTCTCCATGGAGAGGAGGCCACATCAAAAACAGTTTTGGCTAAAGTATATGAATTGAATTATGAAATGCTTTTTTCCACCAAAAAAAAAAAACAATAAAAAATGAATAAAGCAATGTTGCTTGAAACAGTGAATACCCAATGCATATTATATAAAATTGCAATTATGACTTTCAATGCTTGTATTATTCCTTGAGCCCATTCCTAATGAGTTCCTTTCCACCTAGTTCTCAATTTCCTAACCTGATCAACCAAACTTTAATTCATATTAAAAAACAAAAAAGATGAGATGGGATCTGAACAAAAGAATATTGAAAGCACAGTGGTCCCGAACATGGAAAAAAAACCAATGGCTAAAATTCAGGCTGAAACTATCAGATTAAAACTGATTAGACCAAAGAAGGAACTTCCCTCGACAATGGAGCCAAGAAAAGGGGGTTGAAAACAAGATTGCTTCCAAATAAAATTGAGAATGTGGGGTGTTGTCTTTAATCCCTGGTCCTGGACCCAACCTTCACCTTCCACATTTTTCTGACCAGCAACAGTGACAAACGAGTGGTGACACCTCACCCTATTTCTCAAACTTACCTGGCACGCTGGCCTTCACCTATGCTCTCCTTGGCTCCCCAAAGTTGTTCTCTGAAAAAGGGTGTGAACAACACATTTCCACCAGGACAAAGAGGCTACCTAGACCATCCCATGGGGATTGGCACTTCTAACAGGACCTTCAGTGCTTGGCTCACTATGGGATAAATCCAGGTAGGGCATAGGGAAGAGAGCTTTTCAGGAGTCCCCACACACTGTCTAGGGTGTGACTGATCTTGGCTGAGGAATTCCTGCTGCGTATGGTTCAGGAGCTCTCACCTCTCTGCTGGCGAGGTGGGATTAAAGATTAGGAAGGGGCGTCCAGCCTCCATCTACTCAGGGCTTCTCCACTCCCTGCTGCTCCAGCTTGTCCATTCAGTAGTCAGTGCACCGGGAGACCTGGAGACTCTAAAGGTACTCCTGGGATAAGCCTGGGGGAGAGCAGGTGTGGGTGGGAAGGATTTATGGGTCTCTTCTCTGGCCATCAGGGACATGGACCCTGCATCCCTGCTGGGATTGAGAACCTGCGAGTCACAGCTGTGCACTGTTAATGAGGGATTAGCATAGATCTGCAGTCATCTCTGCTGACTCTCCTGGTCCCCCCAGGTTTCCGTGCCTGATGCACTCAGATCCCGGGAAAGGAAGACACTGAGCAGGGAGTCTCTGCAGAACCCCTGGTTGGGGCACAGCACACTCAGATGGAGACGTGCTTCACGCTCCACAAATAACAAACCCAACCGCCCCCTAGACATGGACAGTCCTCATTACTTAGCATTGTTCCTGCCCCTTAGCCCAATATATACACAAAGCAGCATGGTGGGAAGAGCCTGGGCTGTTGAATCGGGCAAACATGGGGTTGAATAGGATCCACTACTACACAGACTGGAGCAAGTGTCTTATTCTTCTGACCCAGTTTTTTTCCTTTGTACAATGATGATTCAAGGACCTTCTCCAAGAGGTGGTGTGAAGACTAGAGCAGCAAGCCTGGAGCACCAGCAGGGTGCCTGAGCTTGGGAGAGCTAACACAACATTACTCAAGGTTGTGTGGCTTGCAGAGTCAGCTTGAGGACAAACTCTGGCTCTCTGAGATGCCTGCTGGACCCATGTGGGGTAGCTGGTGGACCTTCGTAGTAGACATTTAGTTTCACAACTCTCCCCTCTCTCGAAAATGCCTTCCGTTCCATGTAGAGGAGTATAAGAGGACATGATCACAACATATTTCACAGTATGTCCTCCGTGGTTTATATTTGTTTTTAGACCTCGTTTTAATGAATTGTTTTGTGTTTATACTGTCACAGGACAAACTTAATAGGTTCCCAAGAAACAACAAAAAAATCTTTATAATATTGTTACCCTGTGTTTTAATATTCTAGAATAGTCCAATAACCTCTTCTCATGTCCAGCCTTTCGCTTGTGGAATATGTGTGGATACATCGGAACTGAAGTGTGTGGGAGCAGTTGTTGAGATATGACCCAGAGAGAGAAACAGCAAGTCCACTCTGCAAACATGACCATTTATTCCTAAGAGCTCTAAGTGAGGAATCCACCCTGCACTGCTATTTGTGGGAGTCCATGCCTAGGCAGGCTGCCCATTTTACAATGACCACATCACATCACATGTACAAGGGAGTAGTTAGGAATACAGAAGCCAACTCACAGAACAAATAAAGCTGGCAAAATATTTTTATTTCACTATGTAATACAAATTCTCTACAGTAAACGCCACTCAGCACACTTTTAAGAAACAGTATGTGTATTTCTGCAAGTCTTTAATTTGTTTCCTCTGCTTAATCCAGTAATACTTATTATAATGTATTTTATGCCTTTGAATACAATCATAGATATGAGATTGTGTATTCCATGGTTATTTAAAATTTTATTTTTCTAGGAATTTATTTTATTCTAAAAATACCTTAATATATAGTTTTTGGAAATTAATAAAAAAAAAAAACTTGTCCTTGCTCAATGATAGTTTGAGAAGAGCTTTTCTAGAGGCGTCCCTCTACATATGTCCCTATACAAGTATAACTACCTTGGTGATTCAGTGGTTTTCTTCAGCTGAAGAATGAACTACAGTGATCGTTTGGTGGCTCTTGACCCACTCTTGGATGTGTCTTTCCAAGTTTACACTTGGAAATAAAATAGTAAGAAGGCAACATGAATACACACTCATATCACATTCTTGAATTTGACACTACTGGAAATAATGCTCATATTTGTATATCAATTTGTCTGACTCTTATACCTATCCTCAATTATTTTCTAAGAAGAAGTAAAGAATGTGTGATAAATTATTAACTTCCAAATGCCAACAATAGCATCAAGCTATGAGATAGTTTACAAGCCTCATCTATTGATATTCCAACCAGCTTCCTAAATCCACCAAAGACAATTTATGAGTCCCCCTATTTCTCACTGCCCAGCCCCTACAACTTCCCTGGGCAATGCCATCATCACTACAGATGATTCCTCCATCAACCTACAGATCAAACTTAACAGATTTTTTAAACACATGATTTCTTGCTTAGGCTCAGGCAATCCCCTCTGGCTGGCAGGTCTTGCTCCCCTTATTCTTGAGGCTCAGTGGTTTTGTGTTCTTCTAGACCATCACAGAAAAAACTTTGCCAGAAAGCTTTCCTTGCCTCTGAGGAATGGTTGGGTATGCTTCCTTTGTGCTTCCCTAACATCCTATGCTACTCATTACAATGCATAAGATTAGCCGACCAAAGTACCTATATAGGTGATATATTCCTTTTGCCAACCTATAAGCTTTCCGATTGTAAGCAACATGGGTAGTATTTGCTACATATCAGTACTGCCAATTTCTATGTGTTTTGTTTCCTATAACCTGTACTTTGTGAATGTTACTGAACTGAAATTATGACCTATAAATACATTTATTTTAAAACATAGGTTCAAAATGACAGGTGCAAGGCATAAAATCTCCAACTGCCTTCTCTTTTCTAAGAGA